AAGGAGGAAGAGAGAATATAGCTTTATATATGATCTCGCTTATTATCGACATAAAAAACAGAATTATCTTTTTATGAATTAACTATTCGATATAAAGAGGATTAATAATTATCCAGCATTATGCGATATCGTAAAACGATATCTTCTTAAAAATTATCGAAATGGAAGTTGAAATCAAATTTTTCCGTTTTACTTGCCAAGAATTTAATGTAATTAAAAATTTAATTATCGAGAAATGACAATATTGAAATTATGATATTCATTTTACGCATCACATTTCGTTATCAATATCGATGTCTTCTTCGATATTTGCAGGCGCAAAACCACGTAACGTTGCATAACGTTTATAATCGATAAGTGACGAGGAGCCATAGAGATGTGACACGATATCGTGCGGGTCGCGACGTGCCTCGTATGTTACGTGACAAATTGGCCACGTGCGATTTTGTGGCACGTGTCTGCGATGTCTCTGCCTTCCTTTATATAATTGGATCGCTTGTCGCGATACTAAATCGAGAGAATTTCTACTACAGAAATGCATCACGGGCTGTGCAGACAATGACATAAAGTGAGCGAAGAGAGATTTCGTGTCGCAACATTATATTGTGCTTTCGTTGTATTCCACGGAGACGAGCCGGCTTGAACGTCATTCCTCCCGACGTTTTTTTCTTTTGGCTCTATTACTTTGTGCAAGCTTGTGAATAAAAATTGTAATAACGGGAAAATTTCAATAACATACAATATAATGAAAAGAAGATATCAATTCTCCGAACAACACGGAGCCAAAGGTTCCTTGTTGTTGATCAATGTCGGATTCAGACCCGACTGTGACATTTTTACTACCATTGAATTGAGAATTTTTGGTGGAATTTACACGGTTTTCCAACCACCGTTGCTTTACAAATTCTGCACGATGCATATTCAAGCTGACGTTTTACTTTTCAGTGCGACGAACCAGCTAGAGTTGAACGTTCACAATGATCGCTTGTGCGCGATGCTTTTAAAATATTACAATTCCAACAAATAAAAGCCCTAAATATATTTACGATATTATACTACTATGTTTCTGTTAGGATTACGATTCAAGATTGAAAATTAAATTCGATGTACAGTTTGTAGAATTAGATGAATATATAAATTCACACCGAATTATTTAAGCACAAAAGATCCAGCTTGATTGTTTAGGGTTTTTATTTCCTATTTGTTGTGTTTCAAATTACGCTTTTAAAAGAAATTACAATATTAAACTTCGTTTAATATTGTAATTTCATTCATGTAAGGAGATGGTTTGCTGCTGTCCTTTTTTTCATGGAGACGAAATATGCGATCACTCTTTGCACGAACCCCTAATCCGCAATTGCAGAATCGCGATGCACCGGAAGCGGCGCGAATCGCGAACTCGTGACACGAATTGCCGATGTCTCGTGGCATTTAAACAATCGCAGTATGGTCCCACGCAATTGCGAATCCAACAACGTCATCTTGGCCTATGCACATTAATGAGTGGGTCGTCGTGCTTACGTCCCGCTTGACAGTAATTGCAACGAATTATGCAATTGCGTGTCGCGTAGGCGTAAAAAGGTATCGCAAATAAAAAAGATGAATCGGGAGTCGAAAATAAAACGAACGTGATTCTAACATTCGCAGGTATCTAACGATAGGTCGGCGAGGGATTTACGTTTCAGTTATTAATAAGCAATGAGCTGCAGAGTTTTCGTGCGTTACATTTAAGGATGTTTTATACATATTTTCAAAATGATAAAATTATGAAAAGATTATTTACGTAGAGTTAATTGCGATGCATGAACTAGTTGTTCAGTAAAAAAACAAACTATTTATTTGTCTATATCTTTGTAACTAATCAGTGAATCGCGATGAAACTTTGCATAAATTATTTTGAATATTTAAAGTATTTATAAAAGAAAACTGTAAATTTTTTTATCATTTTTAAAATTTGAATTTTTAACAATAAAAATAATAAATAAATAAACTACAAAAATGTGTTATTAAACAAAAATATAATCTTATCCACACAACTTTCATAAGTATATAGTTTATTTGAAGCGTAAATATTAAACATACTTCCCAGTTTAATTTTCTTTGCAGGGATTATACATCTAATACATCCTTAAAATTCCACGTATAATTCATCATTGTCAATTTGATAGTTCTGTGAAAAGAAAACTGCATAAGAGACATAAGCCGCGCGCGTATCGTTCACACTTGTTCATCATTTTATGCATTGACGTTCGACATCCTTGATAGCAGCGGGTGTATGCATCGTAAGATAATGTTATCCATCGTTTTAATTACGAGAAGCACATATACGAGCGCGGGGCTTCCACTATGACTAGGCGTTGCTACGCGTGAAACGTGCGATTTGGATGTGTGGACGCTGAGAGAAGATTGCGGGAGAGCTACGGGAATAATAGCCGCACCTGTGCATCAAGTTATTATTACGAGTACACGAAATTTAACTATTCTCGGAGTTAAGTAATAGGCGCAGTCGTTTCGTTATCGTTTACGTCACGCATGAATATGCATGGTGCATGCATATGCATGACAGTCTCCGTAGCACAGATGCATAAAAAGAGCGTGAAGCCGTTTACAAAAGATGACCTTGGAATCGGAAGATACAACAAAAAAAGTTGCATATTATTCACGTCGTGCACCCTTTGTAACGGCGAATGCCCGCAGCGTAGCGGACCGCTTTTTTTTTAGCGCATCGCACATATAAATGCCACATTCTCGCCGTAAACAATGAAATTTATTTAATTACTTATATGCATAAAGTTTTAATAAACTCAGGCCGGACTAAATGGGCGGATCTTTATTCATGAAGTAAAGCTATTTGTCGCATTCAAGTGAATTTTATTTAGCCATTTAATTCAGCTATATAACAACACGCACAACTATGTTCGATTTGACTCAGCTCGTCGGGTAAAGAAAATAAATCATTCTTCTAATCCGTATAAATGCAGGAAACGGAGAAGACTCCGATTCCTTGCCATATATAGCGGGTTTCTTTTTCTCTCTGCGTTTCTGAGATCATTTATCTATATTTATCAGTACACAGCATTGAGAGGATCGCATCGTGTAGTTTCCCAATGATTTATTGGCTCCTCTTCCACCTCACTCGTATTCCCTTCTCTCTCTTGGTTGTATTTTTTTCCCAACCCGGATTGGGTTTCAAGAGGTTAGAACGCACAAAGTAACACGTATCCTCGGTCGAGCACAATTGGAACCGGCCGGGCGCTTCCGTATAAGAATATTGCGCGAATTCCGGCGCGATCGGCACCGGTTCGCTCGCATAGCGTCGCTTTTGGCCGCGTTTAGCGATGGGGATGCGGTGCCCCAGATTCGGCCGAGTCTGCTCCAACAGTCGTTCAACCCTCGGCCTAGATTCGCGGCACCCCGCGCTGACGTCATTCACTATTCCACACGCAGGTGCTCGTGTCTCCCATGTGTTGGTCGCCGATATTACGTTTACACGCGGGCACGCGAACGCGTATTCACACGGACACACGTATACATACACGAGGTACCGCGTCATCCCCCGTTACAGTCTCAGAACTCGAGACACCGTCGAAGTGATGCGCGAACCAGGGCGCATTGTCCTCGTCAGGCTGTATTATGCAACTTCTCCCTTGATTCACCGTCCCTTTTTCACCCTTCCTCTCTCCGTCTCTCTTTCTCGCATCTTTGCCAAGTCGACTTTTTTGTTGCCACGGTCAGATTTGCTGGTATCGCTTTATTATTCATGCACCTTTCGTTATGACAAGTATGATTGCGTCATTTCTAAAGACCGGACTCTGCTCTCGCCGAAAACTACCTCTGGAAAACTACCTCAAAGTTAATATTAAACTACTGCAAGAATCAATTTATTGAGTTGGCCAAACCAAGTTGAAAATAAAATCGCGATTTTTGTAAATTAAAATAGTGACTCTCTATAATATATCGGTTTCAATAGATTTTTAATTATTTAGAATGAAACTGTTTCTTTTTCTTTAATATATTATATTAAAAAGAAACGAAATTTTTTTAATAGAAAAAAACAAATGACGTGTCTAATAATAAGAAGTCTAATAATTCTTACTGTTTTTTCCTAAATTATAAATCATTCGAACTATTTATATATTATAATAGGCAATTTATGTGTTAATTTTAAGATCGCTTTAAAGAAATTGATGTGGCATTTTTCTATTTGATTAACGATATCGGTGTAATGAATTTCGCAGAATAATACAGGTATTAAGTGTGAGATATCTTATTATGTCTAATGTATAAATTGATATAATCGGTATGATGACGTTCATTTGTCGAGCTTATACGTCAAACGACAATAATAATACACGATTACGCCTGACATAAATCGGAAAATTATGATCGATGTACAAATAACAGGTTCCTTTTGATTGTATTTTCCATAATAAAACGCGAAACACTATCTTGATTTATGACAAGTGCTATACATCACGCTCTTATTACAATTTCTTTCTCCACTTCTCTTTTTCATGGAATATGATTATCATGTTTTTTTTTTGCCAATTGCGAAATGACGTCTTTCGGGATAACAAATACAAAATCATTCTAACTTCGTCATAAAATTAATGACAGTTTATTTTTACTCAGCGACTTAATTATGTATAATAAGCGAAACCGTTAAAGGACCGATTACTATACGTAATTAATTTTATTACCGTTTTTGTTAGTTTAATATATCGTTTTCATGTAACTATGCCTTTATATATATATATATCTATATATACATTCTGATATATGGAAATCGAGTTATTTCTACGTATTACGATTTTACGTTACGCTCATTCAGTACTTTGCATAATTAAATTATTTTCAATGATAACGAGTTCGAAATAGCTTGTAACACTTTTAATCCAGTTATGCTCGTTAGTTATTATCATTTGATTATAACGCTTTCAAGAAAGGACATTAAATTTTCTTCTTCTGTGAATTTTGAATTTCGTTTATTCTTTTTTTAGCTCACGGGTTTTCTTCAGCAACCTATTCCGTACAGCAGCATGTCGGAGGTCCGGAAATACGTTGTCGCCAGGTGGGATCCCGCATATAAAAACTGCCTCAGCATCGTTTTGCCGGACGGTTCGCTTCTTCTGCAAGCTAACAACGCTTACACGAGAGACCAGTGGTACCATTCGATATTATGGAAGGTACATTAAGAATTATTATTTATTATTTAAGAAAAATCATTATTTATTTAACACAAATGAATGAAGAGGACCATATTCAATGAAAGGTCTTGGTGCCTAATAATATTTTTGTGTGAATTTTTACAATTTCCATTTCAAGCAAACTGCGCACCGATTTGCCATCATTATTTATTATCCGTTATTATAATAACTAATTATCATAACAGCTAATTATTATAATAATTAATTTTAATTAATTATTTCCATTGCAATTATTTTAAAGGTTTTGAAGAATAAAATTCACGTTTATAATGCAACTCGTCGAGATTTACTGGATTTAACGTTCATATTTTATCTGACAACCTTACGAGATTTACCATTGTTTGTTTACCATGTAAATAGCGATAAAAATTGATGGATTTTTCCATTTAACTTATAATTTTTTTTAGTTAACAGTAACATTGATTTGTACTCATCTTTCGACCGGTGGGATTTTCCGAGCAAAGAATGATTGTTGTCTCATGAATGCGAATGTTGATATGAAATATTTTTTTTTAATATTGGCTTTTCGATGCCTCTCGTAGATCGGCAGAGAATGGCAAACAAGCGTTATTAACGCTCGACAATGTGAGGTTGAAGCAGGAGGAAGTGATAACAGCGCGAGAGGCGAACGTTCTCGATCGTCCTCGACCGGATCAAATCTCCCGGATACGTCAGTGTTTTATGGAGGTTGCCGCGAGCGGTTTAATATCCGGTCGGGAAATTAATCAGCGGCCTCTCGTCGTGGCCGCGCGACGAGTAAATCGCAGCGATCGGATCGACCATAACGATTGATTGAATTTTATTGTTTACGGCGTTATATTTCTGATGAAAACATCGTCCGTACGTTGACGATCTGAATGTCGATGACTTCTGCCGAGATTGACCCTGTTCGCCGAGAGATTTGTTTCAGTTCAATTTCCACTTCATACGGATGATGCGTCAAAAGAACGTTTTGACATTTAATTTTTTAGCAAAGAAAATTTTCTTTTTAAGTTAACAGCGAACAATTTTTATCTCTCTTGTTGATATTAAAAGTATTGTAACGAGGATATCAGAATCGAAAAAATTCAAATTTTTTAAATCCTTTTTACTTTGTTATTCGGGTTGCTACCTTTCAATTAGTTTTTCAGTGTAGATCGACGGTTTTTCTTTTGGAGATTCCGCTACCCTGGTAAAAATCGATAACCACTACCGCAATCAGTACTTTCTCTTCAATTTGCAGTGGTTTTAAAAAAAAGGTCAATAGATTTAAATCGTTAGCCAGAGATTTTTTTCTGGAGAGCCGAAGATTCCGGCTGAAAATCGAAGAGATGATAACCATGTTATACACACTTTAGTATGCTATATTTTTTTATTATATTATATAGTTACCGTCTCGTATAGGCCTTAGGATCTCTTTATTTCCGAATTCTTAATGATGGAACTCGCCGATTAAACTCGAATTCGAATTCGCGAATGATCCGGATCTGATTCATCTTCCCGCAGAAAAGTATCTTCAAGTATCAACATTTCGTCTCGATGAACTCTCGGGAAGAGGTAATATTGCGCGAATTGCGCACCATGGTGGACTTTGCCCTGTGGACACCGCTCCAGGATGAGAGAGTGGCAGGCGCCCCGCTGGAGGCAGTTGCTAAATTGTTGGACGAACCCAGCATGGAGCCTGACTTGGACGGGAAAACAGAGGAGGTTGTTCGTGATCGTAGGAGCTGGGCGGAGGCCGTTCTCGCAGTGGTGGCTCCGCTTTTGGAAAAAGCGGCACCGCCGGCGGCGCTCGCGAGGGCACTCGCCAAACTGGCGCAACAGCATCCGCGATCGCAACTGGTCCCGATGCTCAGTCCGGCGATCACGAGATGCCTGAAGCACACCGTTGACTTTGGCAAGTCGCCGGACATGAGAAAGCTGTTACAGGTAAGGCGTCTGACAAGTCTCACGTTACTTTGTTTGATTATAACATAGCGGGTGGCGAGATCAAGAGAGACCGTTCGTTTCCTTTTGTTTGTAAGAATTATATTCTCTGAATCTTTTAGAGTGAATTTCCCTCTGAAGAGTAAAATCTCTTTTTTACTTTTTTTTTTTTAAGACTGGCTCAATTTTCACCCTTTAGAGTGAGATTTCACTCCAAAGAATTTGAGAGTACGGAAAAACGAGACTTTGCTATCCTGTTCTAATTAGTTAAGTGACTTGTAACTTAGGATAAGTGATACATGAATGTGTACTCTCTAAATTCTTGGAATAGAATCTCATTCTAAAAAGTGAAAACTGAGCCGATCTTGAAAAAAAGTGGCTCAATTTTCAATCTTTAGAAATGACATTTCACTCTTCAGAGTGAGATGTACTCTGAAAGTTTTAGAGAGTAGTTACGATGTTGCATTACGTACGTGTAGGTGTTCGTCGCCGCTTTGTACGAGAACAATGACGGTGAGCAAGCGATCAGGGATTACATCTCGTCGATTCATGGACCGGGTAGCGATTGTCCACACCCGAGAGTGCTTCCCAATCTCATGTCCATCTGTGTTGCGGCTATATTTCACAGGCAAGTTTCACCCGAGTTGTAATGGAATTGGATATTCGTATCGCAAGTCTGATGAGATTCTCAACGATGTTGATTCTGATTTCTCAGGTTCGAAGTGTCGAGTCGCGCGTCATCGAATGAGGACAAACCACCGTCGTTGCCGCCATTGCAGTGTTATTTGCTCGTCTTGAATATCGCGTAAGTGTTGCGTTCACTGACAAACAAAGCCTGACATGCTTCTCGCATCCTTTCTGCTTTGCGCTTGAAACTTTCGAGTCTAAACGCTTCTCACGTATCGAGGAAACGACGTTATAGGTCGGAATACGCTGACTGGCGTTCGGGTCTTGGAGCACTGCTGCAACCTGTCCCATTCCCAGAAGAGGCTTTGGCCGTGAGAGAAGTTCAGGAGTCCGTACTGATGTGCGTGATGCAACGACTGGCGAAAGACCCGAGATGCACGGTGCATCGCGTCTTGCTTCCCGTCAGGGAACCACGTCCAGGGTGGATCCACATCGCCGCACCGTCCAGCCCGGCTTGTCCAGATCGTGGGGAACTATTTGGCGATATGGTAAAATTTTATCAAATTTCATTTCTTTTCTTTGCGAAGACTATGGTCACTATTTATAGTTCGTTATTTTGAGACCGTTTTAAATATTGTCTTAAAATACGATTCTGTGATTGGCTTATCCTAAGACTGTTTATCTTAAATATAGATTCAGACTATGAATACCAACCTACGTCATATTTTTCTTTCTTCAAATAATTACGTTTCGTTGATTATTTTAGTGTAGAGTTTGTGCTAGATTTTACCTAGGATTTTAAAAAACACATCGTTTTCTTTGCTTTTAAAAGTTTTATTAATTAAATATGAAGAACCTTATACTGAAAAAAATGATGTAGCAATAGCATTATTTTAATTAAAAATAATCTTGTTGATTTATATATACATATATATAATAAAAACATATATAATGAAACAAATGAAATTTTATTAAAACAAGATCATAACATATTTGTTTCATTAATAGTGCTATTGTGAATTAACAAAATTACTTTTAATTAAAATAATGCTGTTGATATAACATCATGTTTTCTTAGTGTAAAAATGACACAATTATCAAACTATTTATCAAACGGATGGAGAGTAATCTTTGCCTAACTCATTCATGATAATAACTAAAGAATCACATTTTTTGAATTGCATCATTTTGAAGTGAGGAAACGATATGATGATATTTGAAGGATTTATGAGGAGCGTTTCACACATACAGAAAGTTTCCTTGAGGTTAAATTTTTAATTAGATTCTCGCGAAGACTAAAATATTCGGGGCAAAAATTTACAGTGCTAATATATCTTTCTTTCTTTGATCTATACAATTCTCATTAATCTTTGTCTAAATTGTTTCTACTGCTTAAATTTGTATTCAGGTCGCACGTGGCAAGAGAAATTAATATCTAACGGCGAAATAGAGAGAATACGTACGGATGGATACGCAATTATTGCGCTTATCGGTGCAACGGTATCGAATTTATTCGCACGTGAAATGATTGTGATGTATTCAGTAGCGTAACCTCGCGAACCAAGCGTTGCGAATTGCGTCTCTCTAGCTCCCGTGCGATAACACACGCCGTAGTAAGATCTATTTAGTTAATTTAGTTCAGAAACGATTCATCCCCTAAAGGTCGAGATGGCAGACGATTACTCGACGCGAGATTCGATTGGAAATCCATCTAAATATTCATGAATCTCTCTTTTGAGATAGATGGGTATCAAGAATGGACCCAAATAAACAACATCAATTCTAATTCTTTCGGAAATAACACGGAATCGAACTGTCACAAACGCACGGAATTAATGAAATCCGGTTAATCGCGGAATGACAAACGGAACAGGAGGATGTCCGATGATTCTTGCATTCTAAATTCCATTCTTAATTACAGCAGAGATTATATCCACCGTCGATTCCGTCATCGAGGAATTTTAACGAATGAATAGAGAATCCGCGATACACACACACGTTATCTATTTTAACTTAAATTAAATTAAACAAATGTGGGAATTTTTCTCCATCATTTAGAATGCACGTTACATGAAATATTTACGCGACAGGCGTTATAATAGCGTGTTCTCAACAGCTCACGACTTTGCTGGCGTGCTGCTGTCGGCGGAAGAGATTCATCGCATCCCTGTTAAAGCAAGCGGGTGATGATTGCATTCTGCTGGCGGTGCGGGGTTGCGACGCTGCGCAGGAAGCGCTCTGCTTGATGCTCGAGTGGCGCTTACTGCCGAACGAGGAGGCGAGACTTCAAATAGTTAACACGCTTGAGTCCACGGAATCCGGAAAGGAGCGCTACGCCGCTCTCTGCCAGAGGCAGAAAAATCTCCAGGAGTTGGTAAGCGAATTCGCGAATCGTTTCGACGCGAAGAATCAGCTGCCCCTTCGCCTTCTTTTTTTTTTATACTAATGTCAATGACAAATCGTTGACAAATTCTGTTGGATCCTAAAGTGATTCTATATACGCACGATATATATATATATTTATATATATATGTAAATTTAAACAAATAGAGCATGTGAGAGTACAGCATGATGTGGATAACAAAGCATAAATATAATAATAAAAAATATTTTCCTTCTTTATTGGATTATATATAATGACATTAATGTCATTCATGATCGAACGTTTCGTCTCTCTTTGGAGTTCTCAGCAATTAAGTACAAAAAGCTAAATCCGTCCTTAGTCCATTAGGGTTGAGTCACAAAACAAGTTGCCAAATCCGATCGTGGCGTTAATCCAACCAGACTAAAAACATGTAAAGAAGCTTTGGATAAAATTTCTTAAATTGATGTAATTCTTGAATTTCGTAAAATAATTCAATGTACAAGAACATATTCACAAATGACATGCTCGCAGTTAAGCGTCTGCACTGTTGGATATAAAGGAGCAATGATAACCCAATTCCTAAATATAACATTTTCTTTATTTTCCATGTGTGTCAAAATTAATTCAATTCTGATTAGTTTCAAAGTAAACATCGCCCATATTAACGTATATGTCTTTAGTAAATCAAATTTGATACATTTTCTTGAATTAAATTATTCAACTCCATTGTTTTAGTCAAATTAACGACATATTGTGTAGGAACAATGGTGATCTATAGAAATTATTAAAATCTCCCAATTGAGTGTGATTTAACATTATGAATTTAACAGTGTTGAATAATTTTCGATCTTAATTTTGCTAGCAACAAAAGGGTGGACCCCGGAAATAATTTTCGATCTTAATTTTGCTAGCAACAAAAGGGTGGACCCCGGAAATTAACTCTCCCAGTTCGAGCGACCGATGCCGACGTTGCCCTTCTGTTAGGCGGTCGTGCTCTCGGTAATCTCGAATGCCTCAGCCTGGCCTTCACCTCTGTGACGTCCGCGTGTGCGGAACAATTGATAAAGTTACCGGCGCTGAGATATTTGAACCTGTGGGCTACGCAGTTCGGCGACGCCGGCCTACAGATGATTAGCGAGCATCTGCAGAAGCTGCAGGTGCTGAACCTCTGCGAGACGCCAGTGTCCGATAAAGGCATCTCCACGTTGGCCTGTGAGTGTCCTAATCCTTAAAGCTTAAAATTCAGATAATGATTTGACTTTTTTTATAAAAATATCTGATAAAATTAATCTTAAAATATGGAAGATGAAATTTTAATTGTTCAATATATGTATATCAATATATCTTAACGTAAAACACGTAAAACAAGTTTATAGAAAATTATCAAGAAAGAGCGTTTCGAATTGCGTGCGAGTTAAAAATTAGAAATACATTTAACCCTCCGCTAAAAACATGAATTTTAACTCTTCCATCAGCAAAAAGTCTTCGATAAATGGATCAAATTTTTTATTGTATTATATATAAAAATCAAATTATATAAAATTCTGAAAAATTCTAGTATATTTGTTAAAGCTTTAACAACGAGTT